GAGGTGTTTCAGCAGGCAGCCCAGAAACAAAGCCTCATTGTCTGCTTCGCTGGGACCACACAAACATGTCTGGCCCAGATTACTATTTCATAGAGGGAGCATAATTACAGTAGCGGAAGCACAGTGATGATTGTGATGGTACGCACACTGAGGTTACAACATCAGTGTATCAGTGTCAGTACAAGAAAGGTTCTCCGTCTCAACAGTACATTAATGCCATATACCAAAACCAAAGGCTTTAACATACCATTATTCAGATGTGTTTACTCTGTAGGCATACTGCAAAGGCATTAGCAGAGCTACAGTATAAAAAGGATTTTTAAGTCTGTGTAGAAAATACAAAGCAAAGTACTGCCAGCATGATTTGAATGGATGAGCTTGTTAAATATATGTATGGGGGAAAATGCATATTATATTTGATATTACACACTAGTTTGATATTGCCTATTTATCAGTGTCAGTAAGCTGCTAGGTTTATTTATTTATTGCTTGACATTTAGTCAGTGAGCCAAAGGGCCACTGCTAATGAGTTCTGGGAAGTAAATTCAGGCCAACAACCCACCAAGGTTCAATGGATAAAAGGGATGTAGAGGATAGAGAATGAGCTATACTTGATTTTCAAGGTATGGCTTTTAAGTAAAATATTAAACATTTTGGCAAAGATTTCACACACAGTAATTTGCTATTAGGGACAAAAAAATTGAATCTGGAGAAGAATATTTTACACTTTCCAAAAATATATTGTTAAACTTGAAATAATGAAAATAAAGATTAAATGTACCAAAACACTGATAAAGCTATTTTATGAAAAATCAATATTAGCTGTTTGTCTAAACATAAATGTGTTGTTTTTCCCCTGTCACTGATTTTTGATAAATCTGTTTTCATTATATGCACCATTGAGTTATTCATCATATCTGTAATATTGAAATTTGACTCCACCAAAGTGAGAATTCAGAGGAGCTTGAAGTCAGTAATGAGGTGAGCGTTAAAGTTGGGCAGCGTTAGAAAGGTTGATGGTGGTCCACAGCCATTAGCTATGAGGCAGCTGCTGCAGCCAAGTCCATGATCCCCAAAGGACAAATAGTGAAACTGTTCATTGATTTAGCTGTAGTTGTACTGTTGAGGACATACTGTACTGCGGTCCTAAAGTGCTTATGGTAAGTTTTTAATATGTATGGATTGTGCATGGAGTGAAATGGCATTAAACCATTTAACAGATTTTTTCGCTTGGGAAGAACTGGGGTCAAAACCTCCACAGTACCAATCTAAGTTTACCCTGAGAGAGAGAGAGAGAAAGAGGGCTGCCTCTGATTGGCTCAATTCTGTATTTATAGAGCCAGAATGAAGACTGGGGAAGCTTGCCAAATGAGGAGCTCTTGTAATGGGTCTAAAGTGCATCCATGCCTCCATCCAGGCAGTTGGTAACTACTAGACTGGTGTAGTCACACCCGTTTTTCAATCATGGCAGTTCTAGGGCTGGTTCAGAGCAAGTGCCTAATTTGGAACCAGTTCTTTGTGTTATGATAGCCAAAGAACTGGCTCTGGGCCAGGAAAACTGCTTCTAACTTGGCACCAACTCTCTGCTGGTCAAGAACTAAGAACTGCTTACATCAGGAGCTGGGGGTGGGATTATTGTGACCGAAGACCAAATAAAACTCTGTGACCGCCATAAAAAAAAAAACAAACAAACAGCAAGAGAGTAGTGCTGTCTTGCCTAACTTTTAATACCAAAGGAAAAACATGAGCTTCATTGACATGAAATTGAACTAGCAGTGAACTGTAGAGAAGACAAACTGTTAGCTAGCATAAGGATAAAGCTAACAAAGGCTAACATCTTACATTCAGTGTTTAATATGAATCAAAACATGTTAAGTAATTACCCTTCTTTTGGAACATAATTGCTATCTATAGAAATTATGATCAGCAGCACAAACACATTGGACCAGTCATGTTTAGATTCCAGTGTAGGCTTGCAAAGCCAGGAGCAGTATTACAAAGGAGACAATGAAGTCCACCATTGTTGTTATTGTTCTTGGCACTAGCATTGCTGGGGAAGCAGAGGCATATTCAGACATATGCAGTGATGTAATTATGTGGCTCTCTAGCTCGTGCAAAAACTGGTTCTTAAAAGGTTCGCAAGTTGAACCACCTCCAAACTGGCTCTAGCACCAGCCCAGAACTAGCACTTAGTTCGTGTTCAGTCAGCATGGGTTTTCAGTGCTGCGTGCTGTGAACTTTTACATGCATGCACTTCTGTCACTTTGACTGTCTCATAACTCTTGAGTGATAAATATGGGACATGACACAACATAAAGGTGATGACAGGCATGAACATGTCTGAATAAACTCAGTTTCAATAACGGGCAGCATATTTCAACACTTCAATTTGGTTCAAGTAGCTGGTGTCATATTTTAAATTTGGATAATCTTGATTTATAATTTTTAAAAAGTTAAAATTGGAATTCTAACTGTAATTTGAAGTGAAAGAACTGTGCTGCCTGTGTGAAGACTAGCCTGTTGTTATACTAACAGCACTGAGTGACACTGGTCATTTGAATGATTTTTGAATAGTAACACTGTTACCACAGTATTCTACATTTACTTGTGCTAACACTAATTCTGCAGGTTTTTGTATGTCTTGTTAATTGACCCAAGATTATCATCTAAGATACTAAAGGATAAGAATGGTTGTACTCTTTATTTGTATTATTCCTAACTAATTCCATAAGAAAATCAAAACAAACTATGTATCTATGTGCCCCTCAACACTCTATGGCTGAACACATGTCGACGGTGGGACAAAAAAACGCTGACAAATAAGCTATGTCTTTGGAAATGACAATACCTTAAATCCTAAGTGACATGCTCAAGCCAGAATATGAAAGTGGACAGCAGGAGAAACCGCAGCGGCATTAATTAATTTGAGTTTCTCCTCCATAGATAGGTTAAAAACAGTATATGTACCAATGAAAAGAGATTTATAACACTCTAAATAAAGCAGGTAAGAGAAAACTCACATTTAAACTGGCATAATGCAGACATAGTGACTTCTCCAGCCTTACAAAAATTCTCTTTAATATTACAGAAACAACGTATTAAAAGACATGCAACGTGTGTTTGGTTTTTTTTTTTTTTTTAGACTTACCATTAAGTCCCACCAAGTAGTGGAAACATCAGTCCCTTTCAAGTAGCTCCAAGGTCGGTAAATCCAATCGGTGGTCATTGAGTCTTCCCCTGTCTTCCTCCACATGACCACATCCAGTTCCAATGTAGTGAAATTAATTCCAACAGGTAGCGTAGCTCAAACGATAACATCATGGGTCGTTAATCCGCTCTTTAACCAGCTACACATCACATGTGGTAGACACACTGGCCTCAAGCAGTCAAAACAAACAGGTACTGTGCTCCGGGGGAATCCAGTGTTGATGAGCTGATCATTCACCTCCCCAGGGTGCTTCACTTTCCAGCTGCTTGTAGATCAGACCTGGTCAGGTAAAACAGCCAGTCCCTGTACAGGAACATTCTCAGAAATGCATTAACCTCAGGCCCTGTATTTTTCTCCACATCCTCTGGTCATAGTGCAGGCAGCAGGAGATAAGATACAGTATATCAACAAAACCGGGCATCTGTGGATGTTAGGCAAACTCACATGAATGTGCAATGGTCTGGAGATTATGACCATTCAAAGAAATCCTACTTGATTTTGTTAGAAAAAAAGTCTTGCAAGTGAGAGTTTTCAAGACATGTATAAATCGAGTTGCTTCTGAATAGAAGTACTAGAACATACGTACACCTAATTATTTTAGCTTTAGGTCACGTCAAAGATGATAATTCACCATTGTAACATTTTAGATAAGTCAAACAAGAAAAAACATCCCACAGGCTCTTTAAGATGTTGTTAAAAATGAATGCCATCTATCAGAAAAGCTAAACAAAAATGTACATATATGCTGCTTGGGTTAAGTTGAGGTCACATTTGAAATTGGTGCCTCTGGCTTTAAGGCATTAGTAAGTACATTGTGCAGTAATTACATAGAAATCATGCCACAGGGGATCTGGTCAAAGCTATTTTAATAAGCCTTTAATGAAACATTTCTCAGGAGCTTGCCCTTACTTTGGTGCCAAGCAAGCAGGTCTTCTTTTAGAATAATGATGCCTCAGAAGAGTTCCAGCCCAGATCAATTCTGTATGCGAGACATTAGAGACATGCCTATGAACAGGGCACTGTTACTGCGGCGGTGCACTTTTAATCTCTTTGTCCCTGAGCACATAATGTAGATGTGTAGATGCTGTAGGTCCCGAGAGAGTTTGACCTTACCTGAGCTGACAAGTTTATTTTTCTTCTAAATATTTTTTGCCTCACAGGTATGATGGTCCCAAATATGGCCTCTGAGTCCTCTGGTCTTTTTCAGAATTAGGCCCACTGAGGTGAATACTCTCTGTCTGTGGTTTTAGGTCATCTGTGCTGCTAGAGCCCTATAGTCAGACCTAGTCTCAGTCTCCCTACTGTCTTACTGTCTGTCTGTAAGACAGTGTTCCTGGTCTCTCCCCAGGTGACATTACATGTTTGTCTTTGTCTTTCACTTATGTGTAATGTTCCACTGATACTGCCCACACTACTAAATGTTATATATAATTAGATCTCTGCAGTTTGGATAGACAGTTACATCATTTTATTAGGTGGTGAAAATTAATAACACTGTTCAAACTGTTTATGCCCTCTTACTGAAAAGGAAATGAATGTCTTGCTCATTGGGGAATTTTAACCTTTTTTTTGCCCCTATACTCAGGATCAGAAATCCACAAGCTGAGCTAGCCATGCTCATGGTTTACTGTTTTTAATATGAATAAACACAGTTTGTTGAATAGGAAAAGTCAAATTTCCTAACAACTATCCCATTTAAAAGGACCTTAAATGACTCTTCTTTCTTGTCAAGAGTGAGATTAGAAGATGTCTATCATACTGGAGTGGTGGTTATCTTCTGATCAAACTTTCAGCTATTAGGAATATTTTTCATAAACAGTTCTTTACTAGAAAAGGGTGACACAGTGAACACAGTAGTTTGTCTTGAAGTGCTGCCTCCTGCCTGCTGCTCTGTCTCCTGCATGCCCTGTGAGTGAGGTGTCTGAACAAGGTGGCTGTTAGGATTCAGTGTTGTCGTGTTTTCTAAGCTGTGTGCATTTCTTTCCCCTAGCCCCGTCATGAGTACTTTAATGTTCCTGTGTACTGATGGGCTGCCATCGCTGCTGCTGCTGCTGCCGCCGCCACTGCTGCTACCGCCGCGGCTGCTGCTATCCGCCCTGCATGTTGAGCTCCTCAATGCCTGGCACCTTTGTTTCTGCCCCCTGAGCATCTGTCATTTTCATTGGTTTGCAGGGTCTCACAATATTCTCAGTTCACTGTTCAGTTTGATATGTGACAGCCATGACACAATATTGTCACGTTATTAGAAGTCAATTGAGAACTGCAGTAACTCATGAAACTCTTTAGGTTTATTAGGCATTTCTTCTGGTAGCATGGACAAGGAAATCGGTGTCCTGTTACTGGGTAACACTGGAATAGTATTCACTCATAGTGAAATTACTCACCAATGTTTATTGAGTCATAATATATTTTGGTGATACATTGTTACATGTCTGTCACTGGTCCACTTAATGTTCCATTGCACAAGTTGAACACCTCTTTTTATTCTCACTGTAAATCAGCATTATGTGCCATCACAACCCAAAACGTGTGGCGTTTGATATAAAAATGTTGAACTCCATGTCCGCTTACTAGGTTTCAACTGGGGCTTTCAGCCAGAAACTTTGGTCTTCGTCAGTGAAGGAATATGCAGCAAAGAAATCTAGACAGTGGACCTTGAGTAGAATATTTTTACTGTTAGTTTTAAAATTTGGGGTTTATGATTTTTTTTTATTAGGTCATGAATGAAAATTGCCATTTTTTAGTTCAGCAAATACTAATGATTTAAGACCAGATCAAATTAGCTGCTATAGCTTTGGTTGAAAAGAAAAGCTAATCTGTTGAATCACAATGGCACAGGATTTAAAACTACTGGTTTGTTTAAACCTTAGGCTGCGGTCAAAGTGGACAATCTTATCAAGTATTTAGTTATGATTTTTTTAGTGTTCATCTGTGCTGTTACCACTCAAAATATGTGGGGAAAGTCTGCCTCCTGTTGCACAGTTTGTAGTACAGGTACACATACTGTATGTGTCTGATTGTGTTTAAATAGACGGTATACCTTGGTATAGTCAGCACAGTAGAGTGGAACCTCACTGCTTGACAGGAAAGGACAGATCACATCAAACATGATCATTTCAGCACAGATTCCAGGTCCATCTCCATTACACTTCACGCATTATTGTTAGTTCCAAGAGGTGGTCATCCTATTAGTTTTATATTTTTATTGGGTCTCTCATTTGTCTCGTCGTGGTGACTGAATTCACATTACGCAAGTCATGGGCTGGAAATGAATGCATGTGTCATACGTTACCTGTTCTTTTATTGCAGCTTGTGTGAAATTTGTCTGTTTTCTTTGTATCTTCTCTCTTCAGATCATATGTACTTTAGGTTTTGTTCTTTATTGTGATTTCCAGGATTTGTTGTTGTAACAAGTATGAAACAAACCCTTGTTCAGACCATATCACACACTAGAAGATATATGACCAGCAATAAGCTGCTATCATAATTCTTTTAAATCATTTATATATCTGATAACTTCCTATTTAAAAAAATTTTTAAAAATCCTCTCTCAAGGTAAGTAATAATAGTGGGAGTAACACTAAAGAAATATTTGCGCTTTGCACCGATTAACCAAGGGCTGTTGGCTTTCTACATCACAGATGATAGACATTTAAATTGCACACTGACTAAGCCCTTAACATGTTTTATATAATCACTATTTGATAAAGACAGATTGCATTAATAGAACATCATGATTAATTGGGGATATTTTATTGATGTATATAAATAAATTGTTTATGAATTTGTCAGTTGAGCACACTGGTGTCTTTCTTTGATATAACTACTTATGGTCTTCTTTTCCACATGACATCTTTTGAAGTTCAGGGTGACATTAATTTAGTGTCTAATGCAACAGTTTTCTTCTGTGCCGGAAACAAACTCGATATCCTCACACTGAATGCTCTGTTTGCTTTGCAGATGAATACGTTTAGCCCACGTAGTAGGTGATAAGAGATTTACCATTCCACCAATATTTACCTCAAGACTGACAAAAGTCTAGAGCTGGTGAATTAATGCATAGCTCACATTTCGAGATCTGGGTACTGCACTGAAAGCTAAATGACACTTAAGAAGTCAGTGTGTAGAAGTGGATTGTTTGTCTCTTCTTAACATAAAACAAGATTTCTGTCTCCCTGCTCTGATGCAATTCCTTTCTTTACTTTGTGCTGAACCTTGTTTTAGGATGCCAAAGTAAGTTCTTTTCTTTGTTTCTACCACAAGGCACCAGTTATGTTTTCCTGCATGACGCCTTTGTCTTTCTACACATTAGCATGTGTACAACATGGATTTTAAGAAAGTGCATTTATATCAAATAATGATTGAGCTTCTTAAGACAGTAGATGAAGACATGCATTTGACATCTTTTGTTTGTGTGCACATATAAATAGACTATAGGGTTAACTTAGGTTAACTGAGTAATGCAGCTTTAAAGTTACTTTGTGGATGATTAGTAGTGCAGCTGGAGCAATGTTTTTATGTTTGGTCCATTTAGTGTATATATAGTGCACACACAGTGTACAAGTGAAGCTGTACGCCTGCCTGCCTGCCGTAAGTTTCGCTGTGTTGCACACTGATCAACAGTTGGGGCCGATGGCCTGTAAAGCTGCATTTCAGTGTTTTTACAAGGACAGGGAAGAAGATTGCCCATTAGTAAAAATAAATGAAAATATTTTAAATCAGAGTTTATGAGTTAAAAAAATGCACTCAGTGTATTTGTTACAGCTCCAGGATACACACAATATTTGAGTGAAAAACAGTGTTTAAAATGTTTTTTATTTACAGGAGTATTTCCAAATAATGTAGATTTTGAAGGTTGAACTAATCTACAGAGTTATTGGATCCTCAGCCACTGTTTTCATTTAGATTTCTTAATTCAGTTTAATATTGATATAAAAATCATTGGCTAGTACAGCTTTAACTTTAACTATTGCAGTATCACATCGCTAATATTAATTCATTCAACTACAAAGCTGTGGGTTCACGTTTTGTCACTAGTGTTAGTGTTAACATGCTGATTAATGCAGCTTTGACAGTGAACTGTTAAACCATGTGCAACAAAGCTGTCAGGTGAAGAGCTGCCATATCATGCCATGTGAAATACTTCACCACCATGACTGCTGGTGAGATAGTGATGACATTACACCAGATAAATCATAGCACCACTGTGAGAGTGTGTGTATGTGTGTGCACAGTTGAGTAATGCTGTCATTGCTGAAATCTGCTGCAATCAGTATGTGGTGGGTATCTCACAGAGCACTTCACAGGAGCTGTGGTTCCTCTGTCCCTCCACAGGAAGCAGAGACCCCACGCAGTGTGCTGGAGGAAATTGGACTGACATAAACACAGTACTCATCATCACCCACACTCCTTCAGCCAGCTACTCTGCTGTATGTAGCCGATAACAACTCCAATTCACCTTTGAGCACACAATCTCACAAACACACACATACACGGTTTTCCTGTGCATCTGCCTTTGTTTCTACATTTTATCTGAGACAAACATTGTAGTGCTGTTTGTTTCCTACCGAGTTATTTATTTGTTCACTGTGATGACGTTAACTGCTACCAAGGAAAATCCTGGGGAACAAAGTTTATTTGTTTCTTTTTCTGCAGTGCAGTTCGCACCGCACTAAGGTACTGTGCTGAGTGAACTGTTTCTTTTTTGACCAAAGCTAATGGGATCACTTTATTCTTGAAGTAGATTCTTGATTTACACACCACTTCTGTGTAGTTTTCAGACCTACAGTATATGCTTTATTGTAAAGTTGAAAGTATTACGTAAACACAACCAAAGAGTTATGTTTCATTTCACCTAACATTGCATTATGATTATGATTGTTTCAAGCACAACATATATATTTGTTTTGTTTTGTTTATTTGACATTTTACCACTGTACTTACACTGTACAGTCAGGTTTTAACATGTATTCTCTCAGTTTACAGGCCATAACCACTTTAGTCTTACTGACTGGTCTAATGGTTTCCACTGGCGAGATCCCATTTCATGTTGAATGCCTTAATCTCTAATGGATACCCATTCATTCAATATGAAATGCTCTATTACTGTTCTATAATGCAATTTCATTTGCATGCCACTGAGTTAAATTTATTAATGTGTTATGTGCAAGAACTACTGTTCTTTTTCCTGTTTACTGCTGTGCTTCTGTTTTACTTTTGTTGTAATGATACAGCTGTGTGATTTGTAGGAACTATATATGTAATCAGTATTGTAGAGGCTCAAAGTGCTTTTCAAATAATTCTTTAAGGCTGAATTAATCACATTTCGCCCACTAGTTGACAGAAAAACTGTAAAGCAAGATGACAGACATACATTATATCAGGCCATGGAGCAGCATAAGACCATCTTTGGGTTTGTCAATACAAGCCACCCTTTCCATATTTCATATGTACATCCAATTTAGCATTAATATAAATAATGCAGCTTTGACTTCTTGAATGGGCCTATAGTGTAAACTGCTATTATTCCCACTTTGTACTTACAAAAACAGTTGGTATTTAGTAACAAACTAAATAGACAGACTGACCAGTGTGACAGGAGTTTTGGACTTTGTCTGATTAGACCTCTACCCAGGAACATCCACACACGTGTACAACCTGTGTTGACTGACATTTCTCTTGCTCCCCTATTGTTTCACACATACAGTAGGTTGCACACTGAGTTTGGTGACCTCATGCAATTCTCTGCGTAGCACCGCCCAGCTCCAACCTGAGCAGTGGTCAAACCAGGAAGAATATCAATGAAAACACCTGTGGGAATGTGCAAGGCCTTGAATAAATACTCTTTAGAGTCATTTCACTGTCTGTTTAAAACTTGTAGTGATTTAAAACCTTAACAACTGAGGGCCACGTGTGATATGCTGCACAACATGTCTGCAACCTATTTGCTTCTGGGACTCTAAGAGGAAAAAAACAAGAGTACTAAAGCAACCATGCATATAAAATAGCAATAGTGCCATAAACTGTAGCAAAGTATTTTGAAATTTTTATGTATTAAAACAGTAGTTTCTGTCATTTGGATGAGTATTTAACAGTTTGTTGCAGTATAAAATGGAATTCAGTATATGTCATACCTGCAGTGTTTTATAAAAATGATGCAATGGATGAAGAAACATATGTTTGTTATGATCAAATGCATCATCTCTACATGCACACAGTCCAAACAAGCATTTTTACATCAAAATTTATTCAACATCCTTTGTCTTTTGTTTTTACTAATGCAAACTGTGTGTGCATTGTTACATTTTTATTAAACATTTACATAATTATCATCTTTGCATTTTTTTTCCTAACTTGATACGTGTTGTTCTTTTATGTTTACATGTGGGTTGTTTTTGGATATGTTTTATCAGACACAAAATAAATGAACACTTCTCAAACAGGTCGAGCATTTGGCGATATATAACGAGACACATTTCCTCCTTTCATCACTAAAACTGAGCAGCCAACTCTTTATGTGCTGTGTGTGACTGGTGAAGAATTAAAGGAGTACTCATGCTACTGACCTTGACAGGAAACCATAACCCTCCTCCTTTATTCGTTTCACACACTCTGACAGTGAACTACACAATTTATCCTCAGCAAATAAACACAAGACCAGTAATGTAACACACAGGTTGAACTGCACTCATGCTGTAGCAACTGTATACTTCACTTTATAAACAGTATAAAATGACATAGATTCTGTTACACTTGAGATAAAGTTATTACAAACAACTGAAGTGTTGAACTTTATTTGAAGGTAAATTACAAACAATTATACCTGAAAATCTGAAGTGTTGAACTTTATTTGAAGGTATAAAAAAGTGATATTATTTCAGTATTCCAACATGTCACACTGCTATGATGTACAGAAGCTGTAAAATGGAAAAACAAGAAAGTGAGTCATTCCAATCTGCTCCCTCACTTCCGGTTTCAAGATATCCTTGACCCGAAGAGACATCATAAAGCAGGGAGCTGCAGATAAGCTACACTGAAAGAAATCTGTTTTAAACAATACAAAATCATATGGCTCCTGATTAACAATAGTTACACAACAAGGACTTAAAATGAAACAAAAACTTATAATTACAATAAAACAGCAGAATGATGCATAATGCACATTTTTGAAGGCAGTAGTTCCTTCACTTATCTCACTATTAATACTACTATTACTATAATGCACAAAATATGCTCAAAATGTACAAAGAAATACAGTAAACGAAAATACAAACCAAGTGTCGCATCTTTGCAGGTTACTTACATATTGCATTCTAAAGATATTCAAATGAAGCCAGGTAAACTTGTTTACTGTTAGCTTCATTGTTTTTAGATACACCGATCTGCCATAACATTATGACCACTGACAGTTGATGTGAATAACATTGATTTTCTCATTATAGTGGCACCTGTCAGTGTGTGGGGTATATTAGGCATCAAGTAAACATTCAGTCCTCAAAGTTGATGTGTTGGAAGCAGGAAAAATGGGTAAGTGTAAGGATGTGAGTGACTTTGACAAGGACCAAACTGTGATGGTGACATGACTGGTTCAGACCATCTCCCACACCCTCCTCCTGTTGTTCTGGTGTGGGATACAACCACAGAAAGCCTTTATTCCCAAGGATGATCTCTGGATGTTTTCTGCCTCATGATCAGAGAAGGAGAAAACTGCACCAACACTCCTTGACCCAACCAATGATCAGAAAAGTCAAACAAGAAACCACTTTAGCACACGCGTCACTTCAGTTCAGGCTGCGTTGTAGGTAAAGACGAGACTTTGGGATGTGTACGCTTAAGGCTCTGCACTTAATATGCCTTTATATAGCATGACAATACTGCCACCTAGTGATAAGACTTTAGCATTGGATCAAAATCTGTTGACAGGCGTTCGGTTTGCCTGGACTTTAACCTTGAGTCAGCTGTGGAGATTTTCATTAAATTTTTAACTATAATTCAATTTCACTCTTGATGTGCAAGAACATGGAACTATTACATTTAACTTTTTTATAAAAGAAACATTATGGCAGTAATAGTAACAACAGTGACTAATGTTTATACTGTAAATGGAGGAAGACATTAAATAGCAATAACCAATTAGAATTGTTTGAAATTAAACAAGAAAATGTAAAAGGTAAGTGTTAAGGTACTGAAGACCGATGTGTCATACACCATTCCAATGTTAACACAATAAAGCAACACCTTTATAATGTAGCACAAGTGGATATTTTTTAAACAAACAGGCATTACAAACACACAGGCGTTCACTCAGTCACAGGATGAACTTAGTTCCCAAATATACCACACTTGTTCATGTGGCTCACATTTAAATGATCCAAAATGGAATGAAAATATCATTTCATTTGGTTCATCTGCAGCAGACAACTGGCACCAGTAAGGTGCACAACAAAACAGGTCTGTAAAGCTTATACCTCATACTGAACCTTTGACTTTAGACTATTGTATCCGATTACAGCATATTTTTCCTCTTACAAATTAATAGTTAAATTCTTAAGCTATAAAATGCACCCTTGCTCAACTCAATATACTCACTGGTGTTGCTATTTTATTCATTTTTTTAGATGCAGGACTGCCTCTTCTTTTCAGTACCAGAGACAATACAAAATATTTACCTACAAAAACTCAGGTCACAGAAATAGCATACTGAAATGTTAAGGATATTCAGAGGTAATTTTCCATCTGGAGAGTTCTTACAAGACCAATACTATAATGATGTAATCTCCTACGTAGCCAGGTGCTGTTTCTGACCACTGAACATGTCCTTCAAACAGTTAAGGCTGGGGTAGGTTGTTTAATTATTCTAACTGTCCTCCTTTAACATCTCTTCAATCTCTCTGTCCCAGCTGTCATCATAGTGCTCGTTATCAACCAACACGTCATACTCCTGAAGTTCCTTCTGTAACTCTCTCTCCCAGTCCACAGTCTCCTCTGGAAAAGAAAAAAAGCCCAAATGTTTATTGGGCTCTGATCAACAAATCTATGAAATACATGAAAACCCAGTTCAACCAGAAGACTTGCCATGTAGTGTCTTTGGATGTTCCTTCTTGTTCAGAACCAGCTGTTCCATTTCTTTGCAAAGGTCCTCCTCATTAATCTTGCATGAGTCAAAAGCATCGCTCACAAATTCAGAAACAGGCGGGCTTGTGGAGATTTCACCATCACCCTTTCATTACAGACACAGGAGGAGGTCAGGACTTATTTAATGCTTTATTATTAATACTCTTATTTTCTTGGATATTTTTTTAAAAACAGGTGACTTGCCTCCCTTGACTTTGTTTTGGAGCTGTTGATGGCAGAGGGAGTTTTCTGTTTAACTACATCTGCAAAAAGCATTTCTTGACATTATCTCTAAAGTACATTAAAAGGAAAAATATTGATATATTCTTATTGACATTAATAGTGCAGACTAATCCACATAAAATGTTTTTCATCATTGTTTTTAACATAGCTATTATGCAGTTTGTCACAAAACCAATAATAAAATACCATATCGAAAAAACAAGTTCAAAATGTGGTTAAGCTTTTGGTTTAATACACAATATTTGGAAGCACTTCACCACCTCCTATGTATTATAGGTTTTTGAGTATTAAAACAAAAGTACAGGCATTATAGTTTTACACTACACAATAGATTGTACCTTTCTGATGAGGATCTTCAGGACTGCAACCAGCTTTGTAGACATCTCTCCTCTCAAGAGCCTGTTGTGCTGCTAGAGCTGTGAGCTGAGCCGACTTTTTTATCAAGGACACACGGTAGAAGTAATTCTTCCAGAAGACTTCCTCTTTCACCCTATAAAGAAAAACAGAGGTAGTCATCTCTGAGGTGAAATAACATGAATTATTTTTGTTTTTAGAGCAGAGATGCACATGATGAACACAGAGGACACAGATATTATTTATTTATTATTATTCAAAACATTCTCACTGTTTGGGGACCAGATGGAAACGCATCTTCCTGAGGAGCTCATCTTCCTCCAGCATCACCATGGCAACTGGATACATCTGCTCAAAGTCAAAGTGAAACTGCACCCCTGATGGAGGATCTCGCAAAAAATTTCTTTTGTCCTGATATCAAATAAAGCAATAACGTGAAGTTAAAATTTTCTTAATATCATACTGATACACAATATAATTTTTTTTTCTGAATAAACAGAAACGTGTTAGACAAAGAGTAATACTCACAGCCGAGAGAGCTAAAATCTGTTGCTGTATGGTGTCCTCTTCAAAATAACCAACCCATGGTGGTACAGCAGCACCTAGATCAGTGGTTTTAGATACTGTATTGTAATGTAATGTAATGCCCTTCCATATCATGTATGTACTGTACGTATATCATGCATACATACTGAAAACATAGGTAAACTGTGTTCTTAAGAGTAGCTAATACTGTGCTATACTTACTAGACTTTTTTGCTTTTTTCTCCTGAACAAACTTTTCTTGTTCTTTCTGGAAATCACCCAAAATGGTCTGAGGAAAAGGACATATTTCATGAAATCGGCCAAACTTCTAAAGAATGAGGTGAATCATTTATATAAAAGACAAACAGCAAAGGATATTTACCTTATCAATAAAACCATTAATTTTCCCCTCCTCCACACTTTTTTTAAATGTTTGTGCTTTTTCAACGACAGACTCGGACAATTTCTTTGAAGCATTACTGGCAAAATCATAAATATAACCTGTAAAGAAGCACATTTAACCAATATTAGTGATAATTTCGATAAGTATCGAAACCCACGAAGCAAAGTGCTCGCTACCACGCTACCACGCTAGTACGAATACCAACTGGCCTATATCAAACTTACCACTGAAGCCCTTGGCTTTTTGGAGAAGTTGGGTGGATTGAGCATCTATCTCAACAGCACCGGTTTGCTCAGTTTCAGCTCCAGCTGTCAGTTTGTTTATTTCCTGATTCTTGTCTTCAGCATCGACAACAGCCTCGCCTTCTTGTTTAACTTGTCCATTTTCGTTTTCTATACCAAGCCACGTGCCCCAGTTTTTAAACATACTTTAAATATGTAGTCAACAAAGTTAGAAGGAGTTCTTTAACATGCTCTAATAATCAACTGCTTCTATTTATGTTACTTTTCTGGTAGTCTAAACTACAGTCAAGGACGGTGACGTTTCACCAGCTACCCACTTCCGCGATTGGGCCATTTTGGTCCCACTGCCAACCCTTAAATTAACTGGCTGTCATGGAAACGTACGCGCTCGCCCTCTAAATGCAGCTTTGTCTTTCACCAAGTTGTTTGAAACCCAAACAGTGATTTATTTGGTTAGATATATCTGAGCCTCCAGAAACTAATGTATCAGCACAGTACAGTTTTCTATCTGTAAGCACCAAGTAAAGTAGTCTTTTAGAGGGAAATCTTACTTTATTTTACTTTACGGTAGATGGCACACTTGCCCTGTGTGTTGCCACACTTGTTATCCCTGTTGTCCATGGATGGAGCTAGGTTAGCTTAGCCAATTTAAACTCTCCTGAGTGTCCGTGTGTCGTCCTTGGTTTATGTCATGAAGTAGGATACGGACTGAATTGCTGCGTTTTAAACAGTGGGAAGTCTCGGCTTATTCCATGAAACCATCCGCACAACTGGCTTTATAGTTAAAAGTTTTTTCCTTTGACAATAAAACGGTTAGAAAAGATGAAGTATGTGTATCGTAAACCTGGGATATAGCTGCGTGACACACCGAGGAAGCTTTCGTGTTCACCGGTTTATCTAGGCGTTCAATTCTCAGGTAAGGTCAACCTTTTAAACTTGAGTTTGTAATATGTTACAATAATGGTCTAGCCCCTCGCAGAATAACAAATTAAAAGCCCAGGTCTGTTTGCTCCGTGTCACTTAACATTATGTGTTGGTACAGGCGATGGTTTCCATTGTGCTGCTCGGCATTAGTGTTTAATTTTCTCACACGTAAGAGCGTTAAGTTTAAGTCACCCTGTGTGCAGTGTGACAACAGGTGTTTACGAAGAGTAACACATTTTCTAAATTAGTGACCCAGAGATGCACTTTTGTTCCCCACAAACGCAGGGAAACTGCTCATATGACAGAAAAAAAATGTCAGAAAAACATACACCTTCACGTTTTGTGTTGAAGCGGTGTCCCTTTTATATTAGACCCCCTATGTGGTTTAAACGGTTTCGGCCAGCCCTAGTAACGAGTGAAGCCTGAAACCCGTGACTTAATTTGGCCTGGGGATTTAAACTCTTTTGGAAATGTAAAGTGAACTGGGCTTCCCAAAACCACCGAAATGATGCCAAACTCTTAAAATCGGAGCATTTGTGTTCAAATAGGATTTACAGTAAGTATTATATAAATGTAGAATTTTTTAGCCCCTATTAATTCATCTTTTATGCCTTTACATATTTATTTCTCCATAGACTAATTGTCAATACACTTATTTAAATGTCACTAGAAACCCAATTCATTGACATCCTGCGTTGGAATTTAAGATTCTTGCCAAATTCTGTAATCTGATCACATCTTTTGTGTCAGATTTGACTTAATGTAATGGTGCTCCCTTATTTGAAAATGTGCTTACTGTACTTCTTAACACTGACATGCCAGGATCACTTTTCTCTTGACTTCTAAACATAACAGTAATGCAAGTTAAAGCCTACACCAGTGTACTTCAGATATCAGTGTTTTAAGATGCATTTTGTCAAAATTGCAACATAGGCTTGATCAGATTAATATAATGTAAAACCGTAATGGTGAAGGTATAGTGTTTCATGCACTGAACGCTTTGACAGCAATCACTGATATTTTGCAGTGACGTAGACATTATTGATCTGAAACAGATGCACTCAAATAAAAACAGTCAAAAGTGACATTACAAATCATATTGAGAAAATAATTAACAGAGTAAAATATACTATTTACAATTAAACACTTTCTTATGAACAACTCTAAAACAGTATTTATCAGTGATATTTAGCTTCTCCAGCCACTGCCAAATGCTCAGTTAGTTGTGTTCGTGAGTCTAGGACACTAAGTACTTTTTTTCCAAGTCATGCTGAGTTTCAGGTGAATTTAAAAGATTAACAGTATAATGTGAGACCATCTGTGAAAGTGACCATCAACATGAGAATCATTGCTGAAATGTAGGTAACATTGTCTTGCTTTGTAGCATCACTGTAGGTTTGGCTGTAGGTTTTGCATAATAGATTCCAAGGGAGTTATGGCAGGTTGTCATCAGCAGAGCACAGGAACAGGACATGCTGAGAGATTATGTGCCCCACAGTATTTTATAGCCCAGAATTTTTAAATACAGTCCCAACTGGTCAACAGTAACATATTTTAGGATGTGCTTATTGCTTATTGCTATTATGTGTTGACTAGACATGGTTTAATGCTGTTGTTTTCTTTTTTATGTTTATAACAGCACCATGGATGCTGAGGGATATAAAAATGATCCACACTATACAGAAGCAGAGAGCCTTTGGCATGTGATGCAGAAATCAGGAGATCTGGGTCAGAGAAGCAGAGATGGTGAGGCCTGGAAAGTGGTGAATGTATTTCTTTCAGGAGGTGCACCATGGGGATTTACACTCAGAGGTGGACAGGAGCATCAGGAACCTCTACTCATAACCAAGGTAAATAATATGAAAAATTATTATATCAAAGCTGAGAGTTAAGATGTTAGGTGCAGATTTGTTGGTTGGAGAGCAGGACTTTAGTTGCAAGCCAAAATATGTTTTTTAGGCTAAATCAAAATCATTTATTCAAGAAAAGTGCAAGTTTTTACACCACTATAATTCCAGCCAATGAAATGTGATTGTAGCATTCCAGCCAGTCATTTTCATTTTATAAAACCTGACGGTTTGATAAGTTAACAGCTGGAAAAACACTGAGTCAGAGGTGGGAAATTTGTTGTCAGTGTACAACAGGATCATTACTGTTCGTGTCCATTTGTTCCACCTTTTGAACTCTCTAGGATCCCAAACAAATTATAATTCCAAGTCAATTTCATACCAAAGTTCCATGTTGTTATTGTGCTGTATCACTTTTGGCAGTAGAGGCCAGACCAGCTAAGGTCATAATTTCACTAATTGCTGTCATCTAACTAAATAAAAGGTTCTGCCACCTGACACACCCCTGCTTGCTGTACATGGCAAACGTGTGGCTGTGCATCTTTCTTGTCTGTCTTGCATCTTTTGATTCTAGGTAATAAAATGGAAGAAAGGGTAGGAAGAGGATCAATGCTAGATTCTGATATAGTATTTCAAATACACAGTATGCTAATACTTTTTTTATATATATAAAATTCATGCATGTAATTGAACATGTAGCAGCTTGATGGAGAGAGTGTTTACTGTTTCAAGTGTGATCTGCGCAGACTTGTTCGCAAACTGTGGTAATAAATCATACTGCTTGAAGATCAGTATTTTATATCAGTTTCATAAAAAACAATTCTATTGAAAATGCTCAAAGCATATAATTCTTATATTCCATGACTTTGTTAAATGGGTGATATGAGCCACAGCATAATATTCTACCCATGGGAGGGAAAGTATTTAATCCACAGTGCAGCAAAGTCAGCTCAGAAGTCACACTGTGACCTCATTCCTCTGTTGGCTGTGTAATGATTTACTACAGCATACCTTACTAGTTAAATTCACATAGTAAGTACCTGCACCTGTTTGTCAGGAGCTGTGTCCCTGCTTGACTCTGTGTTTGCTGTTTCTGCACTGACCCAAAATGTGTTCAAAGTCCAACTCAGATGTACGAAACTCAGGATCTCAGGTGATACAGTGTTACAGTCATGACCACCTTCACCCCATTACAGTAGGTTTTACAAGCATGTGATTGAAATGACTAGAATTCTGACCATTTTAAGACTTTAAGCTGTATTAATTGGCTTGGTCACACTGCTGAATTGTGTGGGGTGAACCATTGACCGGGTGGACTGCTGTACCTTGGCTTACTATTGACAGCATTTTAATGTTAATGTTTTGACACTGACCTAGTGTTTTGCCACATCCTTAATCCAAGGACCAACAAAAGTGGACCCGTTTTCATCTGATGGTGAGATGTTCCCTCTTCTTCTCTCTTCCTTTCATGAAATGCCTCAGAGTTTACTTTGCTGTCATTTAGGCTGCCTTCTCATATTCTTGAGCTGGGTTAAATTTCAGCTGAGAGACTAGCATGTGGTACCAGGAGCAGGGGAGGAATGGTGGAGCTTTGTTTGATTTTCTAAATGTAGAGAATTATGTGTGACAGCCTGAAGCCCATAGGAATGCCATGATAGGATAAATGAAGTCGGATTTAGTGATGGATGATGCATTGGAGTGGCTCTCACATTATAGCCACTGATTTACAGAGATGTTGTCAAATTTTTTACATTACTGGATAAATATGCAATTAAACCTATGATGTATCTACAGACCAGTGTCTGCTTGGCATAAGGTCTCTGATTACTAACATTTGTCTGTCTAATGACATGACTATGTGGACATACTGTATTATGCATGTAAGCCTGGTGTGTGCTACTGTACCTATTCACTTTGTAATTTATCTGCCCAGTTTCTTTGGCTGTTTATTTTCAGTTAAATATATTGTAGGCTGTTTACAATAATAACACATTCTGTCCTGCCTGAACAGGTAGGACTACAATGTTGTAGGAGCTCAAATCTGGTCATAATGGTTGCTGGATTTCAAATATGACCACACTGTTCTTACTCTGTTCTTCTGGTACAAAAGATCCATAAATACTTTGCCATAGACAAGTAAGGTTACCTAACCTACTCAAAACTGTAAGCAAAAATTCTTGCAAAGAGACAGAAGGACTTTGATGGTTATGCAGCTCAAAGGTTGAGGTTTTAGCACTAGCCTGTCTGCTACAGAGTTTGTGCCTTTGTGCAATTTTTTTTTTTGTGATAGGTTTCATACAGCTACCCCCACAGCAGTCACAGTCCACTTCACTGTTTGTTGAACTACACATTTTTGAACACCACATCTTTTAAACAATCTGAAAAGTGTTTTTCCTTTGTAATAGCTTATTATTTGTATGTCGACTACTCATCCCGCATGTTTCATGTGAGCAGTAAGCAGTGAGCATACGTGTCATGGCAAGTGACTTGTAAAATGCAGTTTTACTGATGGTCTAACTTAATACCATTGTTTTTTATTTCTCTACATTCTCTCGGATAGCTAAAATGAAA